TGTGTGTGTGTGTGTGTGTGTGTGTGTGTGTGTGTGTGTGTGTGTGTGTGTGTGTGTGTATGTATATGGTGTGGTGAGGTATGTATCCTTTTCTTAGTCGATAATAAATTTTTCCTAGCGATCTGCTTTTTCGATCATATTGCAGATTGTAGGTTATGTCGGAGTGCCGCGCGCAGGCGGAGGGCTCGTCGTGCGATTTGTTTGTCGCGCAGCCCCGAAAAAGTATGGCGATGTGGGAAAGCGACAAATTTCAAGAGAACGAGAATGCGGACAGTATCGGTGAAAATTTCGACAATATCCTTGTGACGCACGATCTGCAGGACTGTCTGGACGATACCCTGGATTTATCCAGCTTCGAGAAGGTCTATGAGCAGAGCGTGGTATTCGATTATGAGAAATACTCCGACGACGATGTTGCTATCAACGAGAGACTACCTGCCGATGACAACACGGCCGAGTGAGTTTTGACTGATTTTTGGAAAAATTTTTTTTCGGCAATCTCAATTTCTCTTTCCTCTTGTCTCCCGATAGCGCTCGCATCTTACATTATCCGATCGCTTTTGTCATCGGACCTCGCTCGTGCTGTCGATATTTTGATTCTACACCCTCGTCGGAGCTTCCTTGTCCTCTCCTTATAAGGCTATACGAATTTTGAAACGGAAACTTTAATTCATAAATGGTCTCGAGGAAAATCAATGTTGGAATGACACGCAAACGACTGCCTCGATGGTTGCGTTTCGTTGTGTATGTTTCTGAAAACTTTCAAATTCTGGCTGCTATGTAACAATTTCAAAATAAGCCATATGTCACACGTATATATATATATATATATATATATACACTACGCGTTTAATAGCAGTGATGTTTCATTCTATTTGCTGATTTATATTCATTGTCAATTTATATTTATGAAACAGACAATGAATTGTGAATCTGCGATTGTGTATAATTTTTTATATTTTTATATAAAATATAATTTTATATATTTTTCATATTACGAAAAATATTATAAATAGTATATTTGTCATAATATTCAATATCAGGTTGGCAATCTGACATTTTTGCATTTTCTTGTTGAAAACAGGTATTATATTTGTTACAAATTTAGTTTTGATGATATGTACATATAGCAGATGCATTACTCATACCTATTACATGCTTAATCTTCTAGCAAGATGTAGTAATAAAATTGGCATCTGTATCTATGTGTTACTTCATATTTTAATAAACTTTTTAAGTCTTAAAGATGATAATATAATTTATCATTAATTCCATCTTTTCATTTGCCAAGAAGTATTTGTATAATGCTTTAAATTGTAAAATATTTAGAAGAGAATGCAATTTAAAAGATATAATATATGTAACAAAAATATGTATATATTACAAGTATGTATTTATGTTTACAGGCATATCCATCACACAGTCAGTGAAATTTCAGATGAAATTTATATGCGGATTCGACAAGATGACGCATTGCTTGAAGATCATGCAATTTCTCATGAAACTGTCATGATTGAAAGTATAGACTCGGATATTAATCAGAAACATATCAATCGTTATAATTGTCAATATGAAGGCTGTACTCGAACATATAGTACTATTGGAAATTTGCGTACTCACATGAAAACACACAAAGGTAAGCTTCTAAAATAATTTTTATTAAGAATAATTATATACATTTTGAGATTTTTGACAATAGATGTAATAAAACTAAAATATATAACAATAGATGTAATAAAACTAGAATATATAACATTTTTTATATATAAAATGTTTTTAACATATAAGTTTAACATTTAGTTAAACCAAATCTTATTTAATAAATATTACCTAATAAAAATGATCATAAATATTTTTATAATTTTATATAATTATTTTTTGTATATCTTGTAAATTATATTTAATACTTTTAAGATTTTTTATATTATTTAAAATATTCACTTTACCAAAATTTCATCATAACATCATATGTTGCTTTATCTGTAACTATCTGAGCTATATTATTAGAAAAATCATCTTGCTTTGCATGCTTGTCTAATATATCATTGGTTCTATATATGCTGTACTAACAAATTATATGTGCTCTTGTTTTTGCATATTCCATGGATAAAAGAATCTAGGTAAGTCTTTAAAAAGGTTTTTTCCATCTGTCGATGCTAATAAAATCATATTTACATATTTTTGCTGATATTATTAATTCATCAATGCTGGCATAAAGGGAACGCTTTGACCTGCATGGCTTCCAGATACTGCAAGAGATAGATAGACCTGCAATCTTTTTATGTGGAGGGAATTCTCAAAACTTTCAGGCGAGTATCGATTTAAATGCGCAGAGCCGAGTTGCGGCAAGGCCTTTCTCACGTCGTACAGTCTAAAGATCCATATTAGGGTACACACAAAAGTAAAACCATTTGAATGCAATCACAAAGGCTGCGAGAAAGCGTTCAATACCCTTTACAGACTGAGAGCTCACCAAAGACTCCATAGTGGCAACACATTCAACTGCGAAGAGACTGGATGCGTTAAATTCTTCACTACTCTAAGCGATCTCAAGAAACATATACGTACTCATACTCAAGAAAGACCGTACAAGTATGTTTTTCGGTACTTTCTATAATATTAAAAACAAAAAAGAAGACATTACAAATCGTTATCTCAAACACAAATAAATCAAAAGAAAAAAGATCAAAACTCGATTGATTTCTATCTAAAATTGATCGAAATTAGATAGAATTTAATCTAAAGTCTAAAATTCTATCTAAAAATATTGCACCTCGGATACTTTATATACAAATATACTTTATATACAAACAATTAGAAATAATTATTTCTGTTTATTTTAAGATGCAGAGAAAAAGGTTGTGGAAAAGCTTTTACAGCTTCACATCATTTAAAAACGCACAAGAGGACACATACAGGTGAACGACCGTATGTTTGTACCTTCGAAAATTGTAAACGATGTTTTACCACTCCTCATAGCTTAAAGAGCCATATAAAAACTCATAACAAAACTATGAATAATAATATGGTAAGTATTAATAATAGAGAATCTCATATTAATTATATTAAATTTCAATTTCTTTCTAAATCTCAAATTCTAAATTTTATAACAGAAACATAAAGACAATAGAAAGAGTAATACGGCTGAGAAGCAAAGGATGTTAACTCAATTAGAATTAAAACTTGTAAAAGTTAATGCCAATAACACTACGATACCATCGTATACTGTCGTACCAATATCCACAAATCTTGTGCAAAATGATGGAAATATGTCATATGTGCCTATAAAAAATGCAACAGAACAAGTAACGCATACTAATGTAATAGATGTTACGACTCATCGCAAACTAGATGCAAAACTCGGTTATACTTCTACCAAAGACAAAGAAAATCCAAATAGAACTACCGAAACACTTCTTACAACAGATATTGTTTTAGATAATTTTAACGAACATGCAGTTAATGTTTTTAACAATAATGAGGACTATAACGAATTTAAAGTATTTAATCAAATAACTGAGTCAAATGTGCAACATGATAATTTAATGGATGTAGTTGGACACCAAAATCATTTGCACAAATCGACTTCGTTACCAGACAGTGACAGTATAGACAGACAGGATCAATCTATCCCGATAAATCTGGGGCAGAAGATTATGCAGGATGGTTTGCAAAATGCGATAGCGCATATTTCCGAGGAGACAAATTTCACAAATAATATAAAACAGTATAAAAATGAATCCATCGCTCCTCCGGACGATGTATTTACGAACCGATCAAATCCAGAAGATATAACTGATAGCAATAATACATTATATAGTGCCAATTGCATTACTAGTCATATTACTGATATTATAAGTTCCTCAAATGAAACCCACCTTTTCGAGAGCGGAATGAATACTCTCCCGTTTATTAACGATATAACTTTGCAAAATGACTCTCTTATCGCGGTTTCTAATCACGATTTACATGCGGACGCTGTTACAAACACACAATCCGAAGCCATTGAACTTGCAATAGCAACCGAAGAGGAATTACCCTCATCTTGGATAGATGTAATGGCATTAGCAACTGCACCTGCGTTAAGAACACAATCTTGGTCGGAGCTAAATGCCTTTCCTACAGTTCATTCTCTGGTAGATTTAATAGGTCCAGAGCCTTATCCTCTAGAAATGCTATCTACAGAAAATTCGAAAAATGTCAATACGGTAAATACAGAAAACACTCCGACAAACGTCGAAATTGTGCAATGCCAAAAAATTGCCGAGTATGAACATAAAATAGATAATGTAAAGAACAAAGATAAAAATATTCTACAGGAAATCACAGCGGATGCTGATATATGTAAATGCATTGATTGTAAGTGCGATAACTTGCAAAATTGTCAAAATTGCACGAATAGCCCGATCGCAGAAGTTACGAAAAAAGACACGGTACAAATCGTAAATGATTTTATGTCTTCCTTGCAAAATAAATGTTCCTGCAACGCCGAGTCTGGTGGTTGTGATTCTTGCTGTGTTGTAATCTGTCTAAAGACTCTACAGCAGCTACAAAAAATATTTAGCAATTGTTGTAAGAATACTAGCAATACTACTACAAGTGCATGTTGTAGGGAAAAGTTGTTACCATCCTTGATGAAATGTCAAGTAGCCAGGAACCAATGATTCATAAATATTCTTCGCTAATTTTAACTAGTCATGCAAAAGAATAATGTATTTCCGTGCTAATCCCCAAAAAGATTTGTGATTTTACACTTGATAGCTTTAAATATAGGCAACTTTTGCCTTTCAAATGTTTTATCTAGGATAAATCGAGAATATGCGACTGTACATATATGTGCTATAATCTAATAGTTTGTTGAAGAATTTTGCATATTCTATATATTATATATCCTATATTTTGTGCCAAATATTTGTAAACTTTTTACAAAAGTGTTTATACATACAAAATTAATCTTGCATAATTTATGATAATAAACAAGACATCCACAATTTCGAAATAATTTGTTCAAATTACTTAAAAAAAAAAATTGATAGTTGGTAATATATATACGCACATAAAAATACAAGAAAAAGCACAATATATTATTTTTATACGAATAAATTATTTTAATATGAACAAATAATGTTTTATAAATATAATCAATTTTTCATAATCTTTGTGCAGCAAAATGTTAGATAGTATATTTTTTAATATCTGGATGAATACAAGTATATATATGTGTGTGTGTGTGTGTGTGTGTGTATATACACACACACACACACACACACACACACGCTGTTGCTTGTGATATGATTGGTTTTATAATATTGCTGAAAAACTTGTCACAAATTTAATGAATTGAAAATATATACAGCATTTTAACAATATTTTCTATATTTAAAATTTTTATTTACAATATACAAATACAAAATGATATAGTAATAGTTATATGTTTAAGAATTTTATTTATTTTAACTCTTGAATGTATGTTCCCAAATCATAGCATTATCCTAGAAATACTATTTTACTTTATTGTTATTTATATATACACAATATGAAAAAAGCTTTATGTTGCATATTACTAAAGAAAGAACTTGATATTTCCTCAGTTGTAAGGAAGTGCCAAATACTTATATACATCCAATGTCAAAGTATTTATATAATGTTACGATAGTATAGTTAAGATTCACGTTTTAGATTTTAACTAGAGTTTAGTGTTTTATGTTGCATTACTGTAATAAATAAATTGGAGAAGTGTTAACTTTTAACAATCTTCGCGTGGAAATTTTTATGGCTGTTATAAGTACTTGCAATAAAAATCAATGTACCTAAATAGCTTGTAAATAGCAGCATATTTATTATGTTGTTATAATGAACAAATATAAAAACTAACTCAATAAAGAAATTGTAACAACTATCTTTTTTCTTTTTGCATTTATATTAATTTTAATATAAAATGAAATTTAACACATAGTGACTTGTTTCTAGTCAAATAGGTATGAGCTAACACATTTTTATTGTTATTACATTGTCATACAACAATTTCATAACGAGAATGTATTAAATACATGCCTCTTTCTAATAGAGTGTTGAAATATATATAATTTCATGTTACTTATAATTTACTGCGTAGCCTGTACAAGAGCTTCTGCAACTTCGACTGCAATAGCCGCTTCAGCCTTATCTATGTCCGATGTTGCTGAGGTGAGTTGTTGTTGAGCTTTGTTAAGAACATCTCTTGCCGCTGAACTATCAAGGTTTTCTACTGGATGAGCTTCTTCTGCTAGAATCTAAAGGCAAATGACAAACTGCTTAAGATCTATATTTGTTATATTAAGCTTAATGAAGAGAATGGATATATACCTGTACACTGCTATCTTCATTAATGGTAACTGTACCAGATGATACAAAAATTTTCTTAGTTGAACCATCTTCCTCATAAACTGTAACTGTACCAGGCTTCAAAACCGCTAATGTCGGTACGTGCTTCGGTAGAATGCCAAAGGATCCTGAGAAGGAAGGTACATCAACTTGACGAATCACAGCTTGATCATAAAACACCTGATACCCAAAGAAAAACATATTACATGTTGATGTCAATGTAATTACATTTCTCCATTGTATCGTATAATTTTCATTCTTTATACCTGATTGGCACCAGCAAATGTGAACTTCATTTCATTACCGGATGCAACATCTGCATAGGTCCTCCTTTGGCTGCGGACGCATCTCAAGAACGGGCGCAAAGTGCGAGTAAGACTGGACATTTCTGCACTGAAAATAATTAATCTTTTTTTCAAAGATAGCAAGAGAAACAAAGTCTGTTTCACGTTACACTGGCATGGGCGAAACTGTTACATCACAAGTACGAAATACATATATAACCTTATTTTCTTTTAACTTTTCTTATCGGTGATAGTCAAAGTGTACGAATTCGAATTTTTGCGTGCAATTTCATGATCTTTGTTTAATCGTCAATAAAATCTTTGTGCTCACCGTGCGATCGCCTGTATTAAAACCCTGCAAATATCACAGACGTTGCAGGAGTGTGAAAGACCCGAATCGACCGCGCACGAAACGCTAATAACAAGTTCAAGAAATCACGCCAAGATGTCGTTGATATTACTTCGAGATTTTTAGTTTTTTTTAATTAAACTTGCATTTTTAATTACTACGCGAATAATTAGATTGAAATCTGATTATATATATATCAATAAAATGAATTCCAAGATCTTTTATTTAATCTGATAGCAAATTTTCTTTTAATAAAGAATCTATTAGCAGAGAGAAATCTGAAAGCGGCCATCTTGGCTTTTTTATAGATGTAATTATACATCTATTTATGTCGCGTATTTTTTTTTGTTGTAGAACAAAATATTGAACATTAATATTAATATACATTTATCAACATGTTCATATTTATATGTATGTACATATACATATATAATAAAAATAATAATAAATATTTTTTTATTCTTATAAAATCCATCATAACTAGATTTTTGCATATAATTATATGTTATACGATTATTTTTACAACTTAACGTTATTTAATATTTAAATCTTTTATAATTCATAAATAATTTACATTACATTACATATATTTATTAAAAAAAAAACAATGAAACAAATATAAAGAAACTATAAAAGAACAGAAATAAATCAGAAGAAGCACGAAATTTGAGTAAATCTTATGTATCAAAAATAAATATATCTTGGAATTTTTAATTTTATAAAAAATATATCTTGGAATTTTTTAGTGCATTGGAGAATATTTTTCATATATGCAATTTACATGATGTTTTTATGAATAGAATGTAAAATTAACTGTTAATATATTCACAGCATTATTAATTAAACTTTGTTGTGGAATATAAAAATTTTCAAACATATAGACAAATATCGTCGATAGTGTTTAGTACAATTTCTTTCATAATCAAAACAATATACATACGATAATAAATTCACGATAATTATGATTATTTTTATAATAATGATCTGAATGAATCCAAATACATACATATCTTTAATATTGGACACTTTTAAATTCTTATTTTATAATTTGCATAGTATTTTTTAATACATACATATAATTTAATAACAACAGTTAGTTTATTTATTGTAACAATTGTTTATCGTAATACACATATAATATATAAATACATATCTATCTCATAATAATAAGCCATAACGAATCTATTAAACAGTAAATGCACGATAATAGAGTATTCAGAAAGTATATAAAACATAACGATTACAGCGATTACAGCAATATGGAATTATCAAAAGATGTTATAGCGGCTCATATCAGTTAGACATTATTCGTAATATTGAATATTTCGTTTTACACACATTGTAGCCTTGTCGCCTTGAAAATTGTTTACGCGCTGTGACGTAGCGCGTGTTTACGAACGCTCTATGTGTTATCATTCTTTAACTGGCTTTCGTACGGGCAGATGGTAGTCGCTCCGCGTTTCTTCGCATTTTTTTCATTGTTAAATGATATCAAATGCTGATATTACATGAATATAATAAATAATTATTAACAATTGATTAACGATTGATTAAACATATCGAAACAACGACTTTTTAATTTATTAATATTTATTATATTTATAATATTTATAATATTTATAATATTTATAACATTTATAATATTTATATTATTAATATTTATTAATATTTATTAATATTTATATACTTTAGTATATGTCGCATGATTTAGTCCTTCGAAATTTTTATAAGTGATTTTTATAAATAATAACTCCTCCGATATACGGCTTTGACGTGGCGGAGGAGTTGAATATTCCGAGGGATTCCATACCCTAAAGACGAAGAAGCCAACAGTATCCATTACACTATTATTAATAACATTAATATCACCATTAAATAATATTATTATTATTAATACAACATAGCCACGAGTCGTTCAATGGTTCCTAGATGGCAAATGTGTTTCACGCATTATTAGTCGTCGATTTTTAATCGACATTCCACCGTCAATTTAACAAGTTTAAGTGAACAAACTGTAGAGTAATAATTCATAAGTGTATCGAAACGACAATTCTTTTTAGCGAAATATATACATACATTATTAAATGTTCAGTTATTAAAAAATGCTATAGTGTTTCGTGTAAGTTAAATGTTATTTATAATATTGTTGAATATTTCGTCGTAGTCGGATCATTGTTGGAGTAGCCTTGAGAAATGTTTACGCGCGCCGCGGAGCGCGCTTCATTGTGTATATACGGCGAGTAGCGCGAGTAACTCGTGTTTACGAATGGTCCACGTGTTACCATTCATTCACCGGCGTTTGTACAGACGAGTCGCGGTGCGCGTCGCTCCGCATTTCCTCGCATTTCTTCAATACATATTTTAAACATTGTTACATCTTATTATACGAAATATAATATTTTTATGTAATAACAAGTCTTATAACTCAATAATTAATGATTCCGTAAGCGTACCGAATTACGACTTTATAACAAGATTATATATATATATATATATATATATATATAT